TAGCAAAACCTCTGAACTGCTCACTGAGAACATTTTGTTCCCTTTTGAGAAGGATGCAAACCATCTTTTTTGTACAGGTTATTTCCATTCCAAACAGAGCTACCATGAGAAATAAAGCCAAATCCTTGTTCCCGACACCATTCACCAAGCCACAAATTAAAGCCCCTAAAACGCATCCGCCTGTCGTTCTGAGTGTTATGCACAGGCAGAACTTCAGAGAATGACAGTGTGGAAGCAACCTGCCGTATATCATTGGCAAAAACACTAAAAACTTCCTTAACCTCTGAAACCTCATTGCAAACCAAGTCATTTGTCCCTAGATGGACAAGTACATCCAATTCCCCCTCCTGCTTTGCTCGCTTAACAATATTACAAATACGTCTCCTGTCTCCGTGAGCTGTAGCTCCAGGAAGACATCTCACAAGACCACCATTGTCCATCTCCACACCTCTTATGATAGAATCCCCTAACAACAACTGCTTTCTATTAGGCCTCACCATAGTCTCCAAGCCGGTCTCCACAACACCACTAGTCTCAGTGCCTCTCTCCACAACAACACTAGCCTCAGTGCCTCTCTCCACAACACCTCTAGCCTCAGTGCCTCTCTCCACAACACCACTAGCCTCAGTGACTCTCTCTACAACACCACTAGTCTTAGTGCCTCTCTCCACAACACCACTAGCCTCAGTGCCTCTCTCCACAACACCACTAGCCTCAGTGCCTCTCCCCACAACACCACTAGCCTCAGTGCCTCTCTCCACAACACCACTAGCCTCAGTGCCTCTCTCCACAACACCACTATCCTCAGTGACTCTCTCTACAACACCACTAGTCTTAGTGCCTCTCTCCACAACACCACTAGCCTCAGTGCCTCTCTCTACAACACCACTAGTCTTAGTGCCTCTCTCCACAACACCACTAGCCTCAGTGCCTCTCTCCACAACACCACTAGCCTCAGTGCCTCTCTCTACAACACCACTAGTCTTAGTGCCTCTCTCCACAGCACCACTAGGCTTAGTGCCTCTCTCCACAGCACCACTAGTCTTAGTGCCTCTCTCCACAACACCACTAGCCTCAGAGCCTCTCTCCACAACACCACTAGCCTCAGTGCCTCTCCCCACAACACCATTACACTCTGAAAGTGCAGAAAATGAATTACGCAGAGCAACAGACTGTGCAAAATGCCTTTTATCCACAACTCTAAGTCTACCAGATCCTACAGTAATCCATCTGCCTTTCCTAGCATGTCTCTGCGGCAGTGGCTTTGCAGCAGTTCCAGTCTGAGTTTCTACACCAGATAATTTACAAATCTCAGACTTCAAAAATACCATCTCCTGCCGCAAGATAGAGAACTGTCTACAGATAAGACAACAACCAAACCTCCAAAAAGTGGAACGTGAAACAAATGCATAGCAATTGTTACACTGAACTAAGCCTGCCATTCCAATTATGAGAATAATTTAAATCTAACAAATCTTTAACTTTTTTTTTTTTTTTTTTTATCCTCCTGAATACCTCAGATTACCTCCAGGTTATCTCCAGAATATCTCCAACTAGACACTTAGAAACAGCACTTGGAAGTAGCACCAAGCTATATTAGGCATTGGGACTTGCTCAGAGACCAAATAATGAATAAAAACAGTGACAATTACAATACTCCCAAATGGGAGGTGGAAATGGCCAATGTTGATTATATATAACATGTAGCAGGACCTTAGTACTATTTATTTATTTATAAAATATTTTATATTTTATATTTCTCTTGTTTTCACTAGCAAATATTTCCACGTGTAACATCATACAGGATAAAGCCAAAAATGTTTTTTTGTTCATTTCTTTCAAAACAGTAATAGTTTCATTAGTAATTCATTTCAAAAGGCTCATTCAATCTATTTGTCCTTTCATTAATTATCGCTTTCAATATTATAGATTGGCTTGGGTATAGATTAGTTGTTTTCCTTTCCTAAAAGGCCAAATTACTTATTCATGAGCTCAAAATCCTATATTTATTCCATTTAAGAAACCTACCTTAGTGCATACTCCACCTATTATAGTATTAATTATACATTATTTGGCTCATATTCTTTTCCTCCCTATTCATATTTATATCCTGTTGTTCTAGTTAACTTTTTTAAATTCTATATTCTTATTCTTTACATATTCTGAACAGTTATTCAATAATGTTCCTATATCCAACTAATCTCCATTTATTTGATATGTAAAAAGACAATATTGGTTTGTCATTGTTTTTTTACCAACTGCTTGAACTAATCCCAGTTTATCAGTAAGAATCCCACTAATATCATTAGTTTCATCAGAATTCCTTCTACCAGGAATCATATGATTTTTGTAATTAAACACTACTAATATCTTGTGAACTTAGATATCAGAGTCATTAACTATTCCCCAAAATGAAGACTGCACGCTCTTTTCCTTGTGTAACATTGAGTACTAGGATTACAGGGCTCAATAGCATTTTTTGCAAACACTGTTCCATGTTGGCCTGGAGGAACCATGTTCTTGGAAGTCATAGGTGTTCCAAATGACAATATGTTATGACAATAACAATAAAGCAACTGAAAGAGTACTTACCCCTGTAGTTCTTGAACTATTATTAACAATGTCATAGCATAGACCTGTTAAATGGAAATATACAGTAATAAAATCTTTCTTAATTATGTAAACACCTTGATTACGATAATCATAATGACTTTGTCCGTAGTTTTACCTCCAGACTTTAAGAAAGTAATTATATTCTTGATCCCCAATATTAACAGGAAAAATCAGTCCCTTTTTCAAGGATTTATCAAAGAACACTAGCTATCTCCTGAGCCACCAGTACAAGGGCATTCTGTACCTTATTTATTTGTGTGATACATTTATCTAATTTGCTGTTAGGTACTACAATTTGTTGTAGTCTGTTACTATAATTTGTAATTTAATGTTACAATATTTTGTGTATTTTCTATCTACATATTCGACCATAAAACCAAGAAATATATAAAATAATAATGATGTAACTTATTGCTTAATTAATGTATATATTATTTAACACATGTATTTTCATATGTAAGCCTGGGGTACAACAATGACCTTATGTAATAAACATTTTGTTTGCCCATTGGGAAATACCGTAGTAAGAACAGTACACATCAAACATAACAAATCAACCAAGCCCATAGTTATTTTAATCAGTTTATTTTTTGTTTTTTTATTGTTTTACTCTGAAGGATTTATAGTGCACTTGCTATCTGGGTACCTGTTCCTCAGTGCACATAATACAAACACACTTTTCATTTGAAAACACAAAACTGACAAAGCAATTTTAAAGGGAAACTTTCAAGATTATCAATCTGTCTCAATGTTGCAATTTGCTTCTCCAGATCTCTAACATGAGCTTCCAGAGAAGCCACTCGTTCACACCTGCCACAGAGGTATGGACACTGGACGGATTCATCCAGACATGCATAAGTGTAGCAAGAGTTAAATCTACAATCTTGCCCATTTTCACTGTTACCAAAAGCAACAAGTACCGACAATTAAACAATTATTTAACTTCTTGGTTTAAACTCCTTGTTTGTTTAACCCCTTCCCGACCTTGGACGTATCAAGTTCCCCCTCCAGCAATCTGTCTTCTTCTTCTATGGGGGGACTGTCTGTCAGCCCTGGCAGTCCCCCCTCTGCAAATTAGGACCCTCAGGGGCCATGCAATCACTCTGAAGGAGCGGTCACATGGCCACAACACATGGCCGCAATAAGTGTCCATAGTGCTGCCAGCAGGGGGACTGCCTGAACTGACAGGCAGTCCCCCTGCTGGTGAAAATAAATCTCTCTCTCTCTCTCTCTCTCTCTCTCTCTCTCTCTCTCTATTATATATATATATATATATATATATATTTATTTATTTTTTACAATATTCTTTATTCATTATTTTTCTTTTAAGAATGAATAAAAATGGACAACATAAAATCAAACATAAATTTGATAATGCGGTTAATTGTAATCAGGTATGGCAAACAATACTATTGCATCAAATGTTAAATTATTAACATTAGAACCTCTATACAGAATCAGCTAATATGTTAAGTTACAGTCAAATATTCCAGATATAAACATGGTTCTCGTACATGTGGTGTTAAATTATATCATAGGTCAATAAACAGTAATCATATATTTTCTAACATCTCAATCCATTTAATAAAATGTTGATGTTTATCTATAAAATGGGATGAGGAACCCATAAAATCTTTTTCCATGCGAGGCTGGAATAATAATTGATCATTAAATTGTCTCCTTTGGAATAATGAGCGAGACTTCCATTGTCTTGCAATTAGGGATTATTCTAGCCTCGGTGAGGGAATAATCTAAATTTTATTAAAGACAGGAGGCGAATATTTGCTTTACCTTCTTTACTGAAACCTCCAGCAGCAAAGAAACAGTTAATAGAACTTTTCAAAACAACCAATCAGAACAAAGCAACAGTAGTATAAAAACCCTAAGCAGGCTCTTCCACTTCCTCTTTCTTTGATGAGGTCGAGCAGGAGAGCAAGGAAACCAACGAATCCACCTTGTAGCAGACACATCCAGAGAAACAATCGTCAAGCCCAGAGAGAAAACAGATTACACTGCAAGAAAACAGAAAACATTGTGAAAGTAAACTGTCAAGGCAAGATGTCATATCCATACAATATCACTTTCACATCATAATACCTGATGAATAAACAAAGTCTACAGATCTTATGAAGACCTAGTATGTACCTAAGCTAAAAGGCATTGACGAAACATAATTACAACACAAACATGATGAATAAAACGCACACGGACAACCATCACTGAATATTAGAAATAACCTTTATTATGTAAAACCATGCATTCACAAAACATAAACAATATCCCCAATTATTTATAATAGAATAAAACCCAGATCCAGGGAGGGAACGTAAAAAAAAGGGGGGGAAATATTCGCCTCCTGTCTTTAATAAAATTTAGATTATTCCCTCACCGAGGCTAGAATAATCCCTAATTTTATGGCAGGACAGGAGGCTTCATATTTGCAATTTTAACGCCCAAATAGTAGAACCAGAAGCAATATGAGATAGAGGACTGAAAAAAAGGAGAATGGAAAAAACTGATTCCCTAAACAAAGCAGCGGTGTAGAGAAAATGCAGAAGGGACCCAACGGCTTCCAAAATTGTTGAGGTGACAGCACCCCGAACCAAAAGTGTCACAGAGGAACTCAAGGTCAGTCAATGAGAGGATCCACCAAATCCAACGGGCGAGCGAAGATGCAGAAACAGTCCAAAACGGCCGTACGCAGAAATAAACAGCTGTCCATGAGTAGACGGACGAAAGAGCCAGATCCTGGATCTACATGGTCGTGTACAATCTGTCAACAGAGCTGTGGCCTATCCGGAGAATAGGGGTACGACACAGAGGACGAATAAAAATGAAATATGTGTGGAGCAGAAGCCGATGTACTGAACGGCAAGAAGGAAGAAGACACGTCGATACCATGGCGTCAGAACGCGATGAAATACAAGATGTACTGGGGGGAAACCGTAAGCGGAAAAAACTGTCGAGAGATAGGGCTCCCGTACGGTATACTCCTCTTGGTAGACTGCAGACCAAGAGATCCTTAGCAATGCCAGAATCTTGAGAAAACGCACGAGTCGTCCACTAGCTGACATAGGACGTGAATGGCCCCATACGATCCTACCCTGAGAGGGCAACTCAGCCAGACAATGGGGACAGCCATGATAAGGACCGCCATTGGGACCCAAACACAAGTCGTGGCAGGCTACCCCTGTGGATCCCACGTGGGACATTAAGAGACAGGGAGTCGTAGATTGCCTTCCCATGGCAAACTCCAGCAAAAAGGGGAAAGCACGCAGGACTCCTCCGAAGTGGTTTGGCCAGGCGAAACGACACTTCCAGGAATTCGGTCTGAAGCAAAACCCAAAGTATCCTGTAGGTAAATGGAATGCGTACGCCCCGAAGGAGACCAAGCTTGGAAAACTCGTCCCTCGCCTCGCTGAGGGTCCGGCAGCCAGTTGGAGAACCGCTCCATATGGCGGTTCGCACCGAATGTAATCATGCCAGTACTCGAGACCCTGGAGGGTGAGGCAACCAAACATTGGGGTCTCTCCATGGCCGGGTGAAGCCGTCCGCCACACAAGTGTCTCGTCCCGCATACATTCTGTCACAAATGACGAATACTTGTCCAGAAGCTATAGATAGCGATCCTATGTGAGATCCGACTGCAGTCCGTAGTGGGCAACCGGTGAGAAGTCCATGCCGGAAGGTAGCGAGCAATACTGTGAATTTTGAACAAACCTGCAGGTAGTTCCATGCAGTTGGCGTAAAGGAGTCCCTCCTCCGGAGTCATCAAATAAGTCTTAGATGAGCTTCATCCGAAGGTCACATGATTTGGTCATACCAGGCCAAAGACCCGAGAAAGCGCCATGTTGGAGCGGCTGATCCGGATCCTTGAGGTATGGCTTCCATGGCGAATAGGCACCGGTCAATTAACCGGGTTGGGCCCCTAAGTGTAACCCGCAGGTTGCGAAGCATATACCTGGTATTTTCCTTGAAGACGGACATCTTGGTCCTCGGGAGGCGGAGCACCGCCTGGACCGAATATTCCATGAAAGACCGGAAACTGGGTTGACTTGGAGTGAGTCAGATTCAATATGTCCATGTTGATGGCAAAATCCATGCGGGTTTCTCTAATGTGCATTTGAGGGAGAGAACCAATCGTCAACGCCGAGCCTGCTCTCAGAGGGGATGAGTGCCCTCCGTCTCAAAATGTGTCAACAGACGACATGCACTGGGAGCATGTAGCGTGGGGATGGGGCGGGAGTCCACTCCACCACACCCTTTGCCCAGCAGGGCAACTGCGGAATGAGTCGGAATGGATGCCTCTTTTGGTCATGCGTATCGCTCATGGAACGGTCCAAGGTTCCGCAACCTTGATCTGGAGTCCGGGCACGGTCCGAGAGACCTCTGGGGTTAGTTAAGGGGGAACCCTATGAATAGAGACGTGTCAACTCAATTTGTACACGACGGTAACTCCGGACAGCAGACCCAGCACTTGGATGCTAAATCCATCAGTTTGATGTCCAGCTTGGACAGGGGCCGTTTTAATTTAGTCTTCTCCACTTTCCAAGCGGTAACGCGCTGTTCGTCCCGAGGAAACATCTGTGTCCGCGTGTCACCGACATCCACTGGTTAGTCCCAGATAGAGTGCAAACCCCGTGTCAGGTGTTTGCAGTGTCCTTTCCGGACTCCGTCATGAAGACTGATCCTCTTGATGAATCCATCCGTTAGCCAACGAGTACCAGGGGTGCTTGGTGTAGCGTCTAGGATGGCCGGTGGAGTGTCCCCGTAGGGTACCGATGGTTTCTGGCAGTGAGGTCAGCGGGGCGGCAAGAGGACAGGCCAAGTGACCTTCTGGGTACGGGAGTTTTGTCCTTCAGCCGTGATTGCACAACTGCCATAGAGGTAACACTGTCGGAATGATACCTGGTGCGGCCAGCTGGGGGTCACCCAGTGTGCAAGAGGGGGTCACCCAACAAGCACAAGCATACCATGCAGTATAGGCCAGCAGGGGAGGGGGTCACCCTCAGTCTGAACATAATCGGACACTGTAGGTACAGTGGTGTGGCCAGCTGGGGGTCACCCAGCGTGCAAGAGGGGGTCACCCAACAAGCACAAGCATAGGCCAGCAGGGGAGGGGGTCACCCTCAGTCTGAACATAATCGGACACTGTAGGTACAGTGGTGCGGCCAGCTGGGGGTCACCCAGCGTGCAAGAGGGGGTCACCCAACAAGCACAAGCATACCATGCAGTATAGGCCAGCAGAGGAGGGGGTCACCCTCAGTCTGAACATAATCGGACACTGTAGGTACAGTGGTGCAGCCAGCTGGGGGTCACCCAGCGTGCAAGAGGGGGTCACCCAACAAGCACAAGCATACCATGCAGTATAGGCCAGCAGGGGAGGGGGTCACCCTCAGTCTGAACATAATCGGACACTGTAGGTACAGTAGTGTCGAAGTGGTTAGCCGTATAATAAAGTAACCAGACATTGCCGGTCCAGCAGTGTAGACGGCAGGAGGGGGTTACCCTCATATAACCAGAACCGGGCATTGCAGATCCAGCAGTGCTGTAGGTAAGAGGGGGTCACCCTCAGTGTGGTATAATAGAGGTCTGTACACCCAGCAGTGTAGTCAGCGAGAGGGGGTCACCCTCATTAGGGTTATAACGGGACCCTGTAGGTCCAGCAGAGTAGTCCACAGGAGGGGGGTCACCCTCAGTATCTGTGTATTGCAGGGCACTGTAAGAACAGAAGCTCAATCAGTGGGAGGGGTACCCTCTTTTACGGGAATACCCGGACGCTGCAGGTCCAGCAGTGCAGACTGCAGGAGGGGTAACCCCTCGGTATCATAATAGCAGGACATTGCCGGAGCATTAGTATAGAAAGCAGGAGGGGTCACCCTCAGCATTAATCTTACAGGACGCTGTAGAGCCAGCAGGGTACTCATAGGTAGCCATGTTGCCAGAGGGAGGGGATCACCCAGCCCACAATGGTGTCACACGTCCATTATTATGGTCCAGTAGCAGGTAGAGCCCCAGAAATATGGATGGGGGGGTTCACCCCCCAGTAATAACAGGTCTGAATGTGGGGCCAGTAGCCATATAGCGAGAAGCTGACTCATAGACCACTCAGGTATTATATTAGGATACACTTTTGAAGTGTATGTGTAGTGGAAAATAAAAGTCCCTTGCAGGAAGGGCAGCAAATCCTAGGAAGGAGCTAGGTGCTGAAAAACAGGCCATTTAATTTTTATGAGAAAAAGACTGAACCTTGAAAGACTTGATTAGCATATAACACATGTGGCATATTCTTGTTAAACAAGGATTTTTATTTGAGCAGTAACATGTCCCTTTAAATCTGAGATACACATGTAATAGTAAAAAAGTGTGACAAGTCTACTGCTAAGATAGAGAACCTAGTCACATTGCATCAGACATAGTAAGCTGCAGTTGTGAGCGTGCCTGGGACAGATCCTGCTATCCAGGATCTGTTACATATGCAGCATGTGAGACAGGCACAGTAAGTAGAGGGATAGCTGCAAAACTGGGCTATCTCCCCTAATATAGGGAGAGGGGAGGGTGGCCACATGGCCAGCAGGCCAGTTCTTGGGTGAAACCTGGCTGTTCGCAACGCACAAAGCCCATGTGGCTCTGAAAAATGGCCGCCACGGCTCCAACAAAATGGCTGCCGTGGCTGCAAAAACAGAGCGCGGCCTACCGCGTGGTGATCGTGCGGCACTGCAAGCGGCCAGGGGCCACGGGGAGCAGGTGAGGAATAAGGGAGAAGGGTATGGGCGACAGAGCCCAGCAGGGGAACCTGGGGAGGGGAGGGGGAACAGATTACAGGCAGAGCCAAAGCATCATAGCAGGGGCACCCATTCCCCATACAGCAGAGTGAGAAGACAGAATAAAGTAAGCCAGAATAACAATAAATCAATGAGCAGTATACAGAATCTATCAGATAAATAGCCTAAATACAGCAACAGATGTTAACAAGTGATACAGCAGCTACATAGCATGAAGTGGTATAGGAAATAACACAAAATAAACTGCCTAGCTAAACACAGCAATAGACTGCCTAGCTAAACACAGCAATAGACTGCCTAGATAAACACAGCAATAGACTGCCTAGATAAACACAGCAATAGACTGCCTAGATAAATCCAGCAATAGACTGCCTAGCTAAACACAGCAATAGACTGCCTAGCTAAATCCAGCAAGAACCCTGCCTAAATAAAACCAGCAATTAAGCTGCCTAAACAAACCTAGCAAATAGACTGATAAAATAGACTGATTAAATAAACAAGCAGCATGTAGGATAAAAAAACAACCCTGAGCAGAGACAACTCTGAGTTGGTGAGTGCTCACCTGGAGGCAGCAGCAAAGAAAGAGGAAGTGGAAGAGCCTGCTTAGGGGTTTTATACTACTGTTGCTTTGTTCTGATTGGTTGTTTTGAAAAGTTCTGTTAACTGTTTCTTTGCTGCTGGAGGTTTCAGTAAAGAAGGTAAAGCAAATATGAAGCCTCCTGTCCTGCCATAAAATTTAAATTCCTTGTTTGATAGCTAAGATTTCAATGACACTGCACCAACTCGTTTTTGTTCAGTCTATAAACAAAATAAATATGTAGACAGATCACTAGTTATATGAATGTACTGTCAATTGGTCTAACTTCCTCTTCTCAGACCGGCATAGAGACCGTCCTGTACAGCTCTTTAGAAATCAGTTCATGGTGGTTAGTGGCTCCTCATGGTCCCAGGGATTTGTGAGGCAGTCAGAGAACAGGTGCTGATATCACAACCTCCGCTCTGGACCATTTGGGTATCCACCAAACCACCACGTGATGTATTATTTTCCCCCTTCCTGCCCATGAGGTAAGCCGGAGAGAAAATGTTATATATAATGTTATATATATATATATATATATATAGTGCTATATATAAATACTATAAGACTGGTGTTTAACACAGCCTCCTCACATTCTGTCATTCCCCCCTTGTAATTCACTCAACACCCTGCCACACTAACTCTGTAAAATCACCCCTCACCCTGCCACACACCTTGTCACACTCACCCCCCTCACCATGTCACACTCACCCTATAGGTCAGTCACACTAACCCACCAGCTTTCACACTCACCCCTCTTCACCCTGTCACACTCACCCTCCATTACAGAGTCAAGCTCCCCCCACACTGTTACTTCTATATAATATTGTACTCATCCCCAAGCACAGCCACACTCACACTTCACAGCCTACCACACCACACCATTCACCTTTTCACATTTACCCTCTTCTCCCTGCCACAGTTACTCCCCACTATTTACTATTATCACAGTCACCCCCAAAGACAGTGGTCCTTATACACAGTCTTCTCCCAGACTTGAAACACACATTCACCATAAACACAACACACAGATGACACTCAGCCACTCTTACACACAACACAATCACTTTAGAAACTGTTGTGGTTGGCGTGAAATCCAGTGGGCAGGTGCATGCTGGGATCACACTAATTCTAGAAAGCACTGTTTGCCTGCACTTGAAAGGGCCACCCAACTGAGGTTTTGCCCCAGATGAAATAATGTCTAGCTTCTCCACTGCTCTTCGTTAATTTGTTTTGACTTTTCTGACAGGTCTTCATTTCCACAGTGCCTGATAAGGGATTAACTCCAATCTGTACTATACACTTGACACTGTAAAGTGAGACAAAAGCACACAAATGCATAATTTACCACAATGAGAGCTAGTGCTGTCACAGTAGGTCTAACATATGTACAGGCTACCCCCTTGAAATCCATCACAAATAGTAAAGCCATGTTTATCGTAATACCTACTGCACTTTTTAGACCTCTACATATAAACCTTCCTTTTCATATTTACAATTCAATTTAGAATCACAACCATCCTCTACAAAGCTCTCCACAATTTTACACCAGTCTAACCAATTAAGCAATAAATGCAATTATATTTCCACCACTCTGCTAGCAAACTTCATCTGTTTAACAACTTCAAACTTACAGAAAGCTTTATTACAAACCTTTAGAAATTCCAAGTATTTAATGAAATCTCTAAAATGATTCCTTAGAGAAACCTAAATCTAAAGAAATACAAGGTTTTCTTACTAATGTGAGAATTGTTGGAAATTAATAGGGAATTTTGCATTTAAGACCAGATTAGCCAAACTGGAGGTATAGATCACTTGGAGTTTGTTTCCATTTCGGCTAAAAGCAGAATTATAAGAGGTTCTCTCAGGCAACTACACTTTTAGTTTGAATACCATTAACCCCTTGTTAAGACCTGCAGTGGTTATGGTTCTGTGGTCTTGGTTCCCTCTCCCAACAGGCTGAGCATGAGTGATTATAGCTGCAGCAGGGAGTAGAGGAATAAAATAGATGAAATGCAGTTCCAAGGTGATTCTTCCCAGCAAGTAGAATATCCCCCAACATGAGCCTAGACTTCATAAAGGGTGTAACAGGAATAATCTTTATTGAAAACACACAGGCTTTTATGAGAAATCCTCCTGCAAGAGGACCTCCCACAGCAAACAAAAGCAACAGCCAATCATCACACAGATTTACAGTATTACACGCCTCCTCTCTGCCTGGGAGATATTGAGATAAATTAAGGAATAAACCAATTATCTCCAGGCAGAGAGCACACAATTTCCCCAAAACTTAGAACACCCCTTTCCCCCCAAGGTATCCCCACAAATAACCCCTGATAGCCCAGATCTGGGGGACAAACATATCCAAATTTCACCCAGATCAGTTCAGGGGTTCTAAAAAAGTGTGGAGGGTCCCTTTTACCGACCACACACGCAGCTCCTGCCCAAAACAGTTCCATGAATTCAGCGTGTGCGGTCGGTCAATTCACAAAACTGTAAAAACGAACAAAAGTCCCGAATGGATCCCCCTGGACCATAGTAGCAATTGCTCCCCTTGTCCGTTCGCACAGAACTACCGAATGAGGCTTTCCTGGCTGTTCGGGAAATATGAGAAGCCGGCGTTCGGTAATTTCCAACGGTAGTTCGTGAGGTCGAGTGTCCGATTTTAGTTGCAGACACTCGACGACCAAGTCCCGCTGGCTCTCCTCGTGATGGCCACCGTTTTCTTTTCCACGTGGCGTTCGGTTATACGAACAGCGGCCGCCCAGGGAGCACGTAATGGCTGGTTTCTTTGAAGTAAATGAGCCAGGAGGGTGGTCGGCATTCGACCAATCCATTCAATATACAAGTACTAACACATAAAAATACCGAATAAAAAGGGAGAAAATGACAGGTAAAAGTCAATTTTCTTCACACCCCTTAAGGACCAAACTTCTGGAATAAGAAGGAATCATGACATGTCACACATGTCATGTGTCCTTAAGGGGTTAATTGGAAATTCACTTTAAATGTTTTGCATTTGGATTTAAACAAATTATATAATTTATTAATATTTTCCCCCTCTGTTGGTAACTTCTTTTCACTTAATCCATTAACCAAATTGCATGAATATGTACCTATCAGTATATTGCAAATATAATACTTAATATTTATATTACATATATATTTTGCAGTACACTGATTAGCCCATGTTCGCACCCAGTCGTTTCATCTTACTCATTTTCCTGAAACTT